GCTGGCACAATAAACTATCTCAGGAGGGGACCCTCTTGGGTTGGAGCGTGGCGAGAGAACAAGGAGTCGCCGTTACGTGCTCGGTGAATGAACGTTTGTAGCGACTCCACGAGCACAGGCAGGGGAGGTGACGCGGGAGGAACCGGGGTGCTGGGTCAGAGCCACGCCCCAGGTCACCCTGGGAATAATTAATAGGGCTGGGCTTTCCCCCATCCTCTGCACCTTTCCTTCCTTGCGTCCTGGAATCCAGCAGATGCTTATTAAGGGTAGCGGTCCTTCACCTGGGACCAGTTTGCCCACCACAGGACAGTTGGCAGTGTCCGGAGGCATTTGGGGAGTCAGAGCTCAGTGGCAGAGGTCCTGCCGGCACAAGGTGCAGTGGGGGGAGTCCACTAAGGTGCCGAGAGCCCCACAGTGCCCAGGACAGCGCACTCTGACGTACTAGCCAGGGCATTGGGGCTTTGGCGCCTTTGTCACAGGGAGCTGGGCAGAAAGAGAGGGAAGACGTTTAGAGGGAGCAGGGTGGGTGGTATAGACTGTGTTTTCCTCTGGGGAAGCCCCACCTCTGGCCACGTCTTTGACCTCTCCTCTTAACTGTCTCCTAGAATCGACAAGAAAATGTCCAGCGCTCAGGGCAGCTTCAGACTGGATGAAGCTCAGGCCGTCTTGAGAGAAACAAAAGCCATCAAAAAGGCCATCACCTGTGGAGAGAAAGAGAAGCAAGATCTCATTAAGGTGCCCACTTCCCCTGGGAGGTGGGCCTTGCTCTACAGGGCTGCTTTCCCCTGCCACTGCCGCCGCCTCCCGCGGACCAGGGCTCATGTGGGCTATTTCCAAATGTTTCGGGGACCATTGAGTTCTCCTGGCTAGTCTCTCTGGGCACTGGGCTCAAACGATAGAGGAGGAAATGGAGGCCCAGATGCATGAAGTACCTTGCCTGAGGTCACACAGCTGGGTACAAGGCAGAATCGGACTAGGCCCTCTCTGACCTAGGCCAAAGGCCATCCTTATCCTTGCCCCTAGCTCTAGCCACCTGACTTGTTTCAAAGACCCAAAGAGGAGGAGTTAGTTTTGACATCATTGACCTTGAAATGGGAATGTAGCATTTTTATAAGCATTTAACCATATGTAGTAGCTCAGTCCACCACTCGTCAGCCAGTTTCTCAACACGGTGGTAGCTTGCATGTTGCTGTGATGCTGGAAAGTAGGCCAGTGAAATTTCAATATGAGCAGGGCCATCCATGGGGGGAGGTCTCAGCAGAGCTTCCAGGTTAAGGCAGACTAGGAAAGTCCAAAGATCTACTTCTGAAAACCATCCAGTGAAGACTCGATGGGGGCAGCAGCTGGTTGCCTGGTGTAGGGCCAGAAGACACTCCCAGTAGACAACCACACGATGGGCCTGAGCCCAGCACGGGCAAGACCCAGCAGTGCTCCCATCTGTTGGTAGTGGGGTCTCCTGGACTTGGAGCTGACTCCATGGTGACTAACATCCACCACTGACTCCTCAAAAGTCCATTCTCTGAACCCCAGTACTTACCACCGTCCCACATAGGCAGTGCCCTGACCTCTGAGATCATTTGTGGCTGCTCCTGTCTGCAGACGATGAGCAGGAGCCCCACTGTCAACCCACTGCCACCGAGTCGATGCCGACTCATAGCAACCCTGTAGGACAGGGGAGAGCTGCCCCTGTGGGTTCCTAAGACTAACTCTTTTTTTTTCTTTTTCACTATTTCATTTTGTTTCTTCTCTGAAAGAGAAGTCAGTTTCTCAGTTTTAAAGTTAGCTTATTTGTCTTTTTTTGTTGTGGAGAGTTTGAAGTTGCCTATAGATTTTAGAGATTAGTCCTTGGTTTGCTGTGTCATTGCTAAAAATAGTTCCCATTCTATATGTTCTCTTTCTACTCTCTCTTCCCCATTTAATCTTTTGTTGATCCTTTTTTGTTTCTTTGTTTGTTTGTTTTTGTTTTTTTTAAAAACATTTTATTAGGGGCTCATGCAAGTGTTATCGCAATCCATACACACATCAATTGTGTAAAGCGCATTTGTACATCATTCTCAAACATTTTCTCTCCACTTAAACCCCCGACATTGGGTCCTCATTTTTCCCCTCCCTCCCCGCTCCCCCTCCCTCATGAGCCCTCGATAGTTTATAAATGGGTATTTTGTCATATCTTGCCCTGTCCGACGTCTCCCTTCACCCACTTTTCGGTTGTCCGTCCCCCAGGGAGGAGGTCACATATAGTTCCTTGTAATCGGTTCCCTCTTTCCTACCCATTCTCCCTTTACCCTCCCTGTTTCGCCACTCACACCACTGGTCCTGTAGGGCTCATCCGCCCTGGTTTCCCTGTATTTTCAGTTCCTATCTGTACCAGTGTACATCCTCTGGTCTAGCCAGACTTGCAACGTCGAATTCGAGTCATGGTAGTGGGAGCGGGGAGGAAACATTTAGGAACTAGAGGCAAGTTGTATTTCTCATCATTGTTACATCTGAGACTAACTCTCTATGGGGGTAGAAAGCCCTGTCTTTCGCCCCCGGCACTCAGGGAAGGGATAAATTACTTACTGGAGGACGCTTTATGCTCGATGACAAGGTACTCCCGAAGCTCCTGTCCACATCAGGCTGGGCATTAGCAGCGTGTGGCCATCACGATGTAGCGGTTAAGAGCTAGAGTCCCGAGTCCCATCGACAAGGCTCAGAGCCCGGCTCTGCCTGGCGTCAGCTTTTCCATGTAAACTCCCTTGTCAGTGAGACGGAGAGCGCCACAGGCTGTCCCTACAGGACGGTTGTCCGGATCCAGTCAGATATCAGACCTCTGACAGCAAGTATTGGTTAGTTAGAGAGTTATGAGGGCAAGGTACCACCGTCTCATTTTATCTGTGTGGTGGGACCTGTAAGGATTCCCATTGCCCAGGAGGGAAAACTGAGGCAGAGCTCACATCATACAAGGAAGGAGCAGAGTAGGAGTCCCAGTCCAGGGGCATGGCTCCAGTCTCTCCCATGTCCAGGGCCCGCCACAGTGCCTGTGCACAGTGTGTGCCCTCTGCCCACGCTGCTCGCTCGTGACCACAGGTGAGGAAAGAGGCTGGAGTACAAGGGAGTCAGTAGGGAGAGCTGGGCGGCAGAGTGTGGCGGATGCAGCACTCCCTGAGAGAGGAAGGAAGGCAGGTATCCGGCGTCCTGGCTTGCTCACCTTGCTCTCCCACCCCCGCAGAGCCTCGCCATGCTGAAGGACGGCTTCCACACTGACAGAGGATCCCACTCGGACCTGTGGTCCAGTAGCAGCTCTCTGGAAAGTTCTGGCTTCCCACTGCAGAAGCAGTACCTGGACGTGAGCTCACAGACGGACATCTCGGGGAATGTGAGTAGGTGGTATGTGTCCCTGGGGTGGGGGGTGGGTTGCTGGGGACAGCGTCTGGGGGGGCTGCTGCCATCCCATCAAGCAGGTTTCTGGGAAATGACTACCGGTACCTCCTCTTTGCTCACCTGGGGAGCTGTAGGGGGCTCTCGCTGGGGCTGGCAGCTAACTGCGCCCTCTAGAGCTCCGTGTTCCTGCCCCGGGATGACCGAGATCATGAACGGTACAGCGGAAGAGCCAGCCCTGGCTCCCGGCACTGGAATGTTGCTGCCCAAGTCCTTGGATCCCTGGAGGCTGCATAGAAAGCACTGTTTGAAGGACAGCATGTCCTTCTCTGGTTCCTTTCACTATTGTGCCGCTCCGTTCTGCTTTCCTTCCACCAGCTGGAAGGCAGAGAATATTTTTCCCTTTTGTAAGTCCCAAGACAATGCATGCAAGCTTTCCGACAGCTGCTTGACTCCTGTTCAAAAGCTCAATCTGGGACCAGGAATGAATAGTGAAAGTGCCGGCCAGCCGCCCGCCACTCACGGAGTAGGACAGCCAGAGTAGGACCCACCCATGCCAACCTCTAACTCTGGCAAGCTTTTGTTTCAGTAGAGTGGGCGCCTTTGAACAAACCCTCCTCCCAGCCTCCGTGGCTAAATGCTCTTCCTATCGGATTTCTATAGCTGGGTTCCATCCGGGAAGAGAAGCTATGTCCGTGTGTGACCGGGTGAGCCTCTTAGCTTCTTGCCACTCTGGACAGATTAGCATGGCAAGCAAGGCTGCTCCTTCCTCCCCCACCCCCACTCCACCTGTGTGTCCCAGCCACCAGCCACCCGCAAAGTCTGCAGTGTTTGTGAAGACTGTGTGTACCTCCTTCCAAGTTCCTGAACCTTCTCCCGACTCACCTAGTGTTTCACTGCTGACTGCAGCCTCCCCGAGCCTTTGGTTGGTCTGTTCCCCAGAATGGCTTTCTTCTTCATTGCCTGCCTTCTGTTTCCTCCTCGCCAGCTGGCCCCACCCTTCCCTGGCTTAAATTGGCCTCAAGCCATTGGGGGCTGCAGGCTGATATTCAGGTACCTTGGTTTCTCATCTGGAATAGAGAGACATCTGGGTATGATGCCCTTCCTCGGACCCAAAAGAAGGAACATCTTTTCCCTTGACTAGCTTCCCTGAGATCCCCACAGCCAACCCAGTCACGGGGGGGCTATTCTGAGCTGCTTCCCACGCAAGCTGTCAAGCCTACCATGAGCTCAGGAAACCCAGCTCCACACCGGCCACATAGCTGTATCATTCCTGACTTTGTCCTTCTCCTCTAGTTTGGCACCAGCAGCAACAATCAGTTGGCAGAGAAGGTCAGATTGCGCCTTCGATATGAAGAAGCTAAGAGAAGGTAATTAGAGGCTGGGAGTTGGGGTGGGGGGATAGGGTGTTTCGAATAATGATGACTCTTCTGGTCGAGGGTTGGTTCTGGGCCTGGCTTTGCACATACCTTATCTTGTTTAATCCTCACAAGGAATAGGAAAGATGCATAGGTATTAGCAGCCTCATAGTTTAATGCTTTCTAAAACTCCAGAAACGAATGGTCCCTGGAATCCTAGCTAGACCAAGGGTAGAACCATGCTCTGAACTTCAAGTTGTTTGCCCTCAAAGCCCAATTACCTTGTGACTGCCCTGCTTCTGTTCCTGTTTCCAAGCCATGCCCAGGGATCTTAGAGCTGTTTGTTTGTTTGTTGCAAATATGTGTGTAAGCAAACATTTCGGCATTCTTAACAGACAACTGAGATATCATTCATGTTGTGCAAACACCCCCAGTGGTCGTTTCTAACTGAAGGTAGGCTTGAAGGAGCACAGGTTTTAGCAGCCC